GTGTCTTCCAAACTGTATCACCATCTGTGGGAAGAAGTCAATATTTGAGACTAGTTCAATTCCTACACTTAAAACAGCACAGGGTAAAAGCCTGACACAGATAAGCTCATGTATTGCTGCATCACACCCAACAGATCAGTCACAAACTCTTACTTCTGTGGTAATATGACACTGAAAGCTTTGGGTAAATTCATCCATGTCAGCAAATGTAAAGAAATGCATGCAGAGATTGGAGAAAATTTAACTGGAAATACAATAGCAGTTGAATTTCCCCCTGGCTCTCACCATTAGATCTTTCTACACTTGTCAGCTTTTACTTGCAGCATCCTGGAAGAGCACTTGGTGTTCACTGCAAACTGTCACCTCACAATACACCCATTTTCTAGAACATTTTGAACCTACTGAACAGGAGGCACTTGTTGACCTACACTTTCCTTCATTGTGAGGAAAGATTTATCCTCTCAAGCAGTTAAACCATGACAAGACCTTCACTTCTACCTTTGGCAAGAAAACACTTAGAAGTTTTTCAGAGAAACACAGTGTCACCTGAATTTAACCCATTGACACAATTTTCATGTCCTTCAGAGAGCTGATTTGTGAGCTGGATCTTCCCTCTGAAGAAGCCAGAATGAGGATGAGTCAATGTACTGTATTTACAAATAAGCACCACAGAAGGTACCAGCTGATGCAGTGACACTGTTTGAAGGGAGATCCCTCATCTCTTGTCTCCAGGAAATCCTAAAACAAGGTACAAGAATGGCAGTGCCAAAGTATGTCAACATCATCCTTGCTTTAGTCTCATTTATCTCATCTCCAGAGGCATCAACATCCCTCAGCATTTTGATCCTATTTCAAAATCCACATGATTATCAATTTACACCAAAGGAAGTTTTTCCTAGACTTAAAACTCTCCTCCTGTGCTGAATTTCACTAAATTACTCTTCAAAAGAGAAAGTTGCTGCTTGGAAACCAGAAATATTAGACACCAAAACACACACATTAAGTTTCTCTATTAACTGACACTGGCCTAGAATCAAAATGCCCAAGGAATGACAAGGTTGTTTTTTTTCAAAACTATTTATTTCCTAGTCCTGAAAAGGTCTGCTGATATAAAACCTCTAATAAACCTCAGAGCATTTGTCACAACATTCCCCCTGGTTCAGGGTAAAAACCTTTAAAGGCTCAAACTAAACATGTTTTAGCTGTGCCTCGTGCCAACTGATTCAGAGAGCTGTCACAGATGCCACAGAGGAGACAGAAGTTGAGGGTAAGTTGAGAGGTCCTGAGATGCTCCATGGAGCATCTCCCTGGAAGGATGCAGGCTTGAGGAAGGTCTGGAGCATGAGTCTGATGAGGAGTGGCTGAGGGAGCTGGGAGGGCTCAGCCTGGAGAAAAGAAAGCTCAGAGGGGACCTTCTTGCTCTCTGCAACTCCCTGACAGGAGGGGGGAGCCAGGTGGGGGTCAGGCTCTGCTGCCAGGGAAAAAGGGACAGGACAAGAGTAAACAGCCTCAAGTTGTGCCAGAAGAGGTTTAGATAGGATATAAGGGAAAAATTCTTCACTGAAAGGGTTGTCAAGCACTGGCACAGCTGCCCAGGGGAGGGGTGGAGTCCCCATTCCTGGAGGGATTTAAAAGCCGTGTGGATGCAGCACTTGGGGACGTGGGTTAGTGGTGGCCTTGGCAGTGCTGGGTTGACAGTTGGAGATGATGGCCTTCGGAGGCTTTTCCAACCTAAACTATTCAATGATTCTGTGAAAAAGAGTTATGGAAAATTAGCTTTGATGGTCTGTTAAAAAAGACAAATGCAACAACAGGTGACAGAGAGAGACCTCACTGGCAAACTTTGAAAAACAGCAGCAAAAGTGTTCACTAAAGTCACACAACCTTTTCCAGTTGCATTGCAACAGAAGCTCTGGTACCTTTATCCCAAAAGCATTCCTGTGCATTATCCCCACAATAACACTGGATAAGATGCAATTTTTACCATATTCTGTTCTTGCCCAAGCTTAATTATTGAATGCCTAATTTAACCACTGTCACTGATTAATTAGAACAAAAGAGCCAGAAGCAGAACCAGCACAATACAACAAAACAGCAATATTAAGCTCTACTGGAATCTACCCTGAATATTTTTTAAAATTCCACGTCAACAGACATTTCCTTTTTGCAAATTGTTTGTGAACAGTTTATGTCCCTATTAGAGAAACATCTGGAGTTTTTGAATTTTCTCCTCAACATTTGAGATTGACCTTTTCATTTCTAAATCAGGTTTTATCCAGATTTTTTTTTTGGGGGGGGGAAATAAAAAAAAAACACCACCACCAAAAAAAGCCACACACACAAAAAAAAAAAAAAAAAAAAAAAAAAAAGACAAAGCACCCCACTGCTGGCTTCCAAGTACTGTATCTCAGTAGGTCACCAAACCCCTGGACTGTGGCTCAGCAGTTCTCCTTCTGAACAACACTGCAGATCATATCACAGAATCATGGAACGGTTTGGGTTGGAAGGACCTTACAGGTCATCTAAGCTGCAACCCCCTGCCACGGGCAGGGACACCTTCCACTCTCCCAGGTTGCTCCAAGCCCTGGTCAACCTGGCCTTGAACACGTCCAGGGATGCAGCAGCCACAGCTTCTCTGGGCAACCTGTGCCAGGGCCTCCCCACCCTCACAGGGAAGAATTTCTCCCCAATACCCCTCCTAAACCTACTCTCTTTCAGTTTAAAGTCATTCCCCCTTGTCCTGTCACTACATGCCCTTGCCCCAAGTCCCTCTCCGGCTCTCTCAGAGCCTCTTTAGGCCCTGGAAGGGACTCTCAGGTCTCCCTGGAGCCTTTTATTCTCCAGGTGAACACCCCCAGCTCTCCCAGCCTGGCTCCAGAGCAGAGGGGGTCCAGCCCTTGGAGCATCTCCGTGGCCTCCTCTGGACTCACTCCAGCAGCTTCTGATGTTGGTCCCCCAGAGCTGGAGGCAGCTCTGCAGGTGGGGTCTCACCAGGGCAGAGCAGAGGGGCAGAATCCCCTCCCTTGGTGCAGCTCAGGATATGACTGAGCTTTTTGGGCTGTGAGTGCACACAGCCGAGACATGTTGAGCTTCTCCTCCACCAACACGCCTCCCAAGGTGTTCTTCTCAGAGTTGCTCTTAACCCATTCTCTGCTCAGCCTCTATTTGTTCCTGAGATTGCCCCAGTCCATGTGTAGGACCTTGCACTTGGCCTTGTTGAACTCCACGGGCCCATGTCTCAAGCTTGTCACAAAGAGTCCTTATAGAATTCCCTTTCTAAAGCCACCCACATTGCTTCACGCTTTTCTCTTTTATGTACATCCTCAATACATTCAACTATCCTCCACTCTTTAAAAATTCCTCTGTCTTCCTTCCTCTCACTCCTAGACCCTTCCCATCTTCCATTTGGGTTTCCTGATCTTCCATTACACCCTGTAACTTTTTTCCCCTCCAAAATCCCTTTATAGCCTCTTCATTGTATCAGCTCACATCTCTTCTACTGTGTCTCCTCCACAACCCTCCTTCTGTGTATCCCTCCTTCCTCCCAACCTGGTGTCAGCCCTGCTAGAGTCTGGCTCAAGGAACCTGAGGTGAAACCATCCCAGCCAGGCCTTCTAACTTTTACAGAAACTCAACTTGACGCAACAGGATCCCAGTAAGGAAGGAAATGAATCCCTTAAACACCAGACTGACCCACACTGGTTTGTGCAGGAAGAAATTACAGTAACCCCTTTTCAGAAAGGGCCTACTTCATTCCATCCTGAGCACAACAAATGTATGTACTAAACAGTACATAAATATAAAAACTTTACCTTCACACATCTCTGTTATGACAGAAATCAGAGTATCATGTTCAGTTTTGTTATTGCCCGTTTTGTAAAGGATGTTACAAAACAGATTTGAAGGCAACAGGAAGTGCCTTACTGTGAGATTTTTATTTTTTTTTTTCAGCACAAGCTCTTTGTCCTACTTGACTGCAACCTCTAAAAACCTTTGCTGGGGGAAAAAAAGGACAATATTAAAGAGTTATTTAATCTCGTACGGAAGCTCACAAAATTAGCCATGACAAAAAACTGGGAAAACACAAATGAGAAATGAGACATTTTTATACTTTTTTTTTCAAATACTTGAAGAAATTAACTCATGAATTTCTCAAAAAGTGGTGGATTCTCGAACTTTCCACACCTTCACGGAGAGGCTGCAAGAATCTCCTGAAGTTATGCTCTGACAAAACAAGTAACGAACTCAAGACACAATAACCACACAAAACTTGGACATTTCACAGTGCACAGTAAAATGAACTGTTAGAAGCCAAAGCTCTTGGACTTTTTTTTGTTACCTCCTCTAACCCAAGCTACATTCATTTCAGTTCTCATACGTCAAACACTGAGCAAAACGGGCCAAAGAAAATGGCCCAAATGAATTCCACGAAAGCTCTTGGGGTTGTGTAGCCTTTGGCAGTTACCCCTGTTCTCTAGAATTCCATCCGTTAGTTGTCCCTTTTCGACTCATTTTTGACAGAAGCTAAAAAAATAAACAATTTGTTTCTGAAGCTCAACACCAGCATTGGGTCTGAGAGGTTTCTTACCAAGTTCTTCTTGGAACCTTCTAGTGGGGGGTGTCCCTGCCCATGGCAGGAGGGTTGGAACTGGATGATTTTTAAAGTCCCTTCCAACCCAAACCATCCTGTGATTCTGTGATAAGTCTGGTTGTTCAGCCATATAAAATTACTTAACTCATGTTCCACTTGCTGAGCTGATTTTTGGCCGATCGTTCTGCTTTTGAGAAACAAACCTTTCCCCTCCAGGAATTTTAACACTTCAAAGCCACAGCCAGCTCACATTTTCCCCATGTAAGCATTTCAAAAGTCTTCAGAACTTGAAGGTCTGAACTCTGTGGCTCTCACTGCAGCTGCACTTCAACACAAGCACTTCAGAAGGGGGACTTTCCTGGGCAACAATTCATGTATTTTTAACAATATGGATGTTTGCAGAACTTACCTCTTTCTCAGTATCCCTGGATATGCAGGTCCACTGGTTTTCCTTCACACTGTATGCCCAGAAGTCAGCCAGATCCTGAGTTCCATCCCAGCCACCAAACAAATAAACAGTTTCTGTCAAAAAAAAGGAAGGACATGTTAATGCTATTTGAAGAAAACATCTCTAAACAGGCCAATACCTACAAAACACCTGTGACAAACAGACAAACTATCAGAAGAGTAGTTTAAAACAATTTTTACTTAAAACACTGCTCCTTTTTGAACAGAACCAGTCACCAAGACAAAGAAATGTGGTTTGGTTTAGTAATGGAAGTTTTTAAGATTGATAGTCAGCCAGTTCTCAGAGTCATTTTCTATTTCTACATTTACATAAGAGGCAATCAAACCCACAGCCTTCTGATTAAAATTCCAGACAGACAAATGAACAATATTTAACATTTTGGATCCTGTGCACTTAGTCTATCAATGACATCTCAGCTTGTACCCTGTCTGGTGCAAGATTTATACATCAGCAAGACTTCTGAGATTGGAGCAACAAAGTTTTTCTGTTTAGTCCATTCTCTTAGAAAGAAAAATTTACTTCAATTATGAAATCTTCTTGAAGGGAAAAGCCTTGCATAAAGGAACTTACCTGATGGCACAAAAGCAAGTAAGTAGAAGAGTTAAAGTCAGTGTTTCAGGCCTGTCACCTCAAACCCACAACTGCTCCATGCACAGCAAGACCAAAGGATTCTCAGACTCACTGATAAAACCAGATGAAGCCTCTGAACAGGGGAAGCATTTAAGAAAAGCCTCTGTTCTGCCATAGAGAGATAACTAAATTGCTCCCATTATAGAAACATCACTATCTAGTCTCAAATGCTGAAAATACTTCATTTTTGGACTGCATTAAAACATAACACAAAGCCAAGTCCAAGAAGAACAAGCCCCTCAAGACCTGTAGAGCTTTGAAAAAGTCCTTTAAAATCCACAAACCACTCCTATTATGGAGGTAATGGCCAATTTTTGATCCAACACCAATTAAACAGCAGAGTTAGAAGCAGGATTACAAAACAGGACCAGTCCCTGACCCTTACCTACCATCAGGATAGTGGTCATCACCATGGAAAGGTTACCCTGGTTCATTAACTTTAATTACCCTTCCTCCTGGACTCAGGGCTCCCAGTGTTCCCTGCAAAGAGCAGGTCCCTTTGTGCACATAAATTCTCACAGCTCACAAAACCCACATCACCACAACAGCTTCATTGATAGCTGAGAAAAATAAAAGATTTGGCACCGGCTAAATATCCTCCTGGGGCCTTGCCAAAACGTCAGGCCTGCCTGGAAAGGCTTTGTTGGCTCACATGAAATTTAATAGCAAACCTGAATGAATCTGATGAAAACTCAGCTTCTGAGAGTTACCTACACCAAGCTGACAGAGCGAAACGGCCCGTGAACACTGAGGGAGGAGCACAACCACCCAGCTGGTGCCACCGAGAGCATCCCCAGAGTGACACTGGGAACACAAGGGGACACCAACGCTGTGCCAGGCTCCATTTCCATCATGATGGAAAACTGTAGCTCACGCCAAAGAAAGGCTCCATCACTATCTAGACCCAATGACTACCATTTTTTGGTTTTATGCCTTCCTGCAGAACTATATACATATTTTATAGGAAGTTTCTGTACTGAAAAGGAGCATTTTTTTGATGCATAAATGCAACTGTTGCTGGTTACGTCAAGAAAATAATTTTTCATAGTTCTCCTAAATTTTGCAATGGTTCTCCCATGTTATAAGCAAAAAGTTAGTTGTTTGGTGTTATTCAGAGATTGTTTTTAGTTGGTTGGTTTTGAAATTTTTTTCGATTTCCAATTTTTTTAAAAGTCAAACTTCAGTATGTTCCCCAACCAGAATCACCCTTCTGCTCTACCTGTTAATTCAGATTTTATGGGAGGGTTATTTTTCCGCCTTGTACGCAGAGATCCAACCAGGACAGACCCAGGATGCAATTCCCACCTCACCAACATATCAGCAAATACTCAAAAGAAGAGGGCAGAGACCACAAACTCCAGACACAGGAGTGGGGCAGCCAGAAGGGAGCCCAGGAATCTCACACCAATATAACTATTCCTACTCTGGCAGCACTGGGGAACTCAAGGAGGAAAGGATTTCTCCCTCTGTATCCAAGCAATGTGTAATACAGCAATAGTGATGCTGCTTTATTAAAGCAAGTCTCTATTCTGCTTCAGGGACAGAGAAGAATTTTCAAACCTACCTGCAAGGCAACAAGAAAAAACATGAAAGCAATTATATTTACCCAAAGCTTTCACCAGCTACATTTAGGAAGTCAAATTTCTCCTCCAGCATTTTCACCGTATTTCCTCTGCATTTATTTCTGAATACAAATTGAACACTTTGAATTAAATATGCTCTGTGGATATTTCTAAACTGCTTGCTCAGACAAAAATGTTTCTGTAATATCTAAATTCTTCTCCTCCCTTACTGTCTGGATGACTAAAGGGTGCCAGGGCACTCCTCAAATTAGAGGACACATGTTCCCAAAATTCAACATATTTCCTGTCGATCTCTCATTAATTTTTATTTTTCAGACAAGTATGTAAACCATCCTTCTCTAACCCCTGTGAAATACTAAATATCCTGGGGCAGCTTCAGTCCAGGTTCATTCATGTTCTCCAAGACAGTTGTCTATTAACTCCACCTTCCCCATGTGATGAAATCCGGGGTGGGATTTTGGTACAAGTGAGTCTTCCTCATCTGACCAGGGTGTTACATGGCAAACTGCTCTGGCCAGGCTGACAAAAGCTGCTTGGTGTGCCTGAGCCTCCCTGTTTTACCTTCTAATACACAGGCACACTGAATACATTCCAATCCTGGTCACATATCTCACTACATGCTTTAGTCAAATGGTATCTCCATGTGTCTGCTAGAACAGTTCTCCATGAAATATGAAAGAATTATGGACCTACAACACCTCTGCAAGTCATCTGATCCATCAGTCACCTCCCAAACCTCTCACAGCAGGACCAGGTTGCACAGGGAATTACTTAGTTAAACTCTGAGTATCTCCAAAGACAGATATTTCAGTCTCAGATCTGCTACAATGACTGATTATCTTCGTTACATTTTTTTTTATTCCTAATATCTGAAATATGGAGTTTCCCATCCTGCCCTTCGTCCCATCCCTCTGCCCCCCCACCCCAAAATGAGTGTGGTCACCTCCATGCCCCCACCAGCTACGTGAAGACAGCTCTGAGACCCTCCCACGAACCTTTTTTCTACCAGCTGCACAAAAGCAGCTCCCAAAGCATCTCCTCACACATCACAGGCTCCAGCCCTGACCACCTTGGTGGCTCTTCAGTGACTCTCAGTTTGACACAATCCTTATTGTCCCAGAGAGCCCAAACTGGGCACAGGCACACTCCAGATGTGGCCTTGAGTACTAAAGAGAGGAACATCCCCCTCCTTAACCTGTTGGCCATGCTCCTGCTGACACAGCCCAGCAGGAGGTTGGTTTTCATCACCACAAGGACAAACCACTGGTATCTCAAAAGCCTTCTATGAAAAGACATCACTGCCCCATGTAGAACCACAGATTCAGTCACGTGCCAGCAGCACTGTCCACTTTGTGAGGGGCACTTAGAGCACAAATGTAAAACCAGACCCAAATTTCTGTGCGGTATCACACCCCTCGGTTTCTGAGCCACAGTTCAGCGTAGATGTTGGCTGGATCCAAGTTTTTTTTCAGGCTAGGCATAGAGTCTTCCTCTCAAATGTGAAAGCACCACAAAGTTGAGTAACCTCCAGGATTCAGCAGCTGTTTGTGTTTCAGAGCTTAGAAGCCATCTGTGTTTTGTTTCAGAGATCCCTTCATCTTGTACACAAGTCCTGTCTTTAAATATCTTATGGATAACAGTGTTTTCCTCAGGCAAAACAGCATCCTTCATGTCTGCTGCTCTCTCTTCATCTTTTTCATCTTTCCATGCTGCTTTTGAACCAGCCTTGTCATTTCCACTGTGCTGCCCACACATACCATGGGCATGCTGGGCCCAGGGCTCTGGATCTCCCTGTTTTCCCAACCTACAGCTTTGTTCTCACTCATCCAACAAAAGGAGGAAAACAGAACTCCTTCCAGCAAAAGGAAAAGCAAAATAACGTACAAACAAAATTAGAGCAGTCGCACTTCAGTGAGTGAACAGAGGTAACAAATCGATAAACACCATTCCACTAATATTTTCCCCTCAAAAAACTATTTCACTTCCCAAAAAGAAGAGAAATAGAGACCCAAGAAAATCATCCTGGTTGTTTTGCTGTTGTTTCTACAACAGGTTCATTGGAAAACTTCAGCTTAATGAACTGAAAGCTGAAAGTTGAAGAAAGCAGGATATAACACAAGATTGTTTTAAACAGGATGATTTCCACATAGTCTATAATTCTGTTACCAAAATAAGTTGTGTATCTTTATGGACTGCACTGTGATTCACACAAAACTGTGCCCGTCCTATGAGGGCAGAGGAGATCAATTCCACCTTATCTATGGAATTATAACCCAAATCTCCAAAACACAGCACATGTATTGCTCTAAAATACTGATGTTATTCCTGAAAGCTTGAGTTTGGCAATTCACTTATTCATTCCCACTTTCTTCCAGAATAAGCACTGGAGTTTTGAAATGCATGCCATATCTGAACTATAAAGAGGCCTGGGAGGGCAGACTCAAAGTTCTGTTAATAAAGTACCAATGCCAGATCCCAACATCCTCATCCAAAACTGCATTAGGGCTCAATGCCCCTGGGAACACAGTTCCACACACAAGCCTGTGTTTCGCTGCTCAAGTATTTCACCAGGGCCTGCATAAACAGCCTTCCATGACTGACATTCAGCACACACCACTGTGTTCCTGTGTAGTTTGGGGGTTGTTTGGAGGATACTTTTGTTTTAATTTATGTACCTGGGTTGTGACTACCCAATTACCTCCCCTTCCCTGTATAAAAGCACAGAGAACTCTCCAGCTTCCCAAAGGGAGAACTCCATGAGACCTAGACCTTGCAGGAAAAAGCAGGAATAACATAAGCCTTCTGCTTTCATTTAGATTCTAGAGCTTTCAAGTACCTAACAGTGGTTTCAGCTCTAGTTTATGTTTCTGCATGTGGCTACCAAACCCAACTTCCTAATTCTGCCATCTAGAGTCATTCCAGTCTTGAGTGTTAATATAATTAAAAGCATGGAGGGCATTATGAGAACCAGTAACTCTTCATTTTTAATTTATTTTTTATGTAAGAAGACAAAACATGCTAAAAGGCAGCTTAGACCAAGTTAAACTATGTCCTACCTGAAACTTATAAACAGAGTCTCAGTGACTCAATGCATCATCAGGAATGTAAGATCCAGCTCAGTTGCTTCCCAATCCATATCCTCTATCCTAACACCAACACATGCATCCAGCAGGCTCAGTGCTATTTACCAAATTAAAATTAAGCATATTTTTGTAGTCAGCAATGACTGGTTAATATTTCCTTGAGGTTAATCAAAACACAGAACTACTTGTTATAGCTACAGCAGGTCTGGCCATCAGAGATGGAAATTTGCTTCCAGCACGTATTCTATGTGACATGAAACTTCAGATTCTCCTTAGAAGTATGATTTTGGGGTTTCGCTTCATTTCCGAAAGACTAAAGTTGAAGAAAACATTCGTTTTTGAGAAGGACCTCACCTCTCTAACAAGGAGTGCAAAGTGAGATGATTTTTCAGTTGCCAAAGAGGAAAAAAAAACCACAAACTCAGCAAGTGCGTGGGTAAGGCAGGGAGGATGTCTTTGAAGGAAAGAGTACACCACCGCTCCTTTTTCCATTAACACTGGATTTGCTCAAGGTTAGCCAGGAAGCTTTACAGCTCCAGTCTGTAAAACACATCCTGACATAACTGGCTCAATTCCCATCAGCTCATTAAAAACTACCTATATTCAAAAGGAAAACTCCAGCAATCACCAGTGGTTGGTTTTAAGGATAACAGCTCCAAGAACTCCCCCTGGCCTGTTATGACCCAAACTAAATGGCAATACTTATAATCTCAAAAAAACATTTTGGCTTGTACAAGCCTCAGTGGACCTGGATGCAAAACTAAGAGCAACTTCCCAAACAGCCCACAGAGAAACTTTGGGAAGGTATCCCACCACCACTGGACAGAGCTGCAGGAAGAAAGGGCCAGCATGAGAGGGGGAGATCCAGCTCTCCTACACTGGGACTCCACCCCTGTGGGTGCTCTCCAGCCACTTTTGTGCAATTGAAAAAAAATATATATATGTATATAGACAGATGGTTTTTATTGCCTTATTAAAACAGAGTGAAAGGTGAAGTCCAAGGCAGATCTTACAAGGGCTTAAGAAAACCAACAGCAATGGAAAGGAAGGCTCACACTACCAGGGATATATTATTTTCACAAGGTCTGATGGACTATCATTTCCAAGTTAAGGATCACGTTACTTCCAAGCTCTAGTGAAACACTCACTGTCTACTTATTCCCGAGGCCACTAGGGAGCGTTCCCAGTCTCTCTGTAGGGAAACACCAGCGATCCTCCAGCAATGTTTTGTTCTAATCAATCTCAAACCTCTTCCACCAAAAAAAAAAAAAAGTTTGCTTTCATACACAAAATAACTCGAGTGCTTCCTCCAGAGCTGTAACTATACTCTGAGCACAAGCCAGAGACTGCAGCTACATTTTTGCTTGTTCACTATGACTTAGCAAATTACTCCTGAAGGTGCTGCCCTGTCACATGCTCCGGTCCCGTCCGTGTGACCACAACAGATACAGTCACAGGCACTTTTCTGCCAACTCCCTCCATGCCACCCTATATTCCTCTCCATTAATCACACCCTGATCTTGTTTCTCCTTTCCCCAGAACAATCCTCTCACTCATACAGCAAAGTTTCAGGCAGATGCTTTCCTTATTTTAGCAAGGGCTGACGTGCCACGGGAATCTGATTAAATTAAAGCAAGACAAAGATACATAAAGTCATGGAGAACAACTATCACTGGAACTGTTACTGATACACAGCCCCCTTTCTTTTCTCTGCAGGTTCTCTGAAGCAGAGGCTGAACCATTCTTTAAACTGCTACAAGAAACATTTTTTGTAAAAAAAGTCTAACAAATTATATTTAACAGGAGTTTCTTGCACACTGTGGAAATTAGAAGCCACTCCAACCAAAATACAAAGAATGTTTCAACACATCAGATCTATTGCTTGAGCTCTATTCCAAAGAGCACAGCCTGTAGCAGACAAGGGAAATTATTATCCTTAATTTCTCTTTTCTTGTTTGAGCTCCTGCTCTAAGAGGGTAGGAGGGACAAAAAATAAAAAACAATTGTTCTTGGTTTCTTAGTTAAGCCAAAGCAATGGCTAAGGCGTAACAGAGAATTAATAGGGAAGAAGGGGTGGGAAAGGCAGTTGGAATATAGTTCCAGAGAGAAAGAGTATTAAATCCAGCTATTAGAAAGTGCAATTTTTTTTGCCTCAAAACCTGAAAAAAACCTCAAAACCTGGAAAACAGAGGATTAAAGAAATAAGTTAATTAAGAAATGTAACAACTACTCACCTGTCTGCACATCTATAACCATCTGATGGCCACCTCTCATCCCTGGTCGACTGTCTTCCCCATCACCTTCAAAAAAGAGGGAGGAGAGGGTGTTCCATTATGAGATTTTTAAACCAAGGAAAGGTACAACCTCAATACAGAAGCAGAGTAACTTAGTAACTCACCCTTCTTTAAGCATTACCTTAAAGTTTTCATTAGCTTAACACTCTTCCCAGGTAATATTCTTCTGTGCATTATAAAACTGTAAGAAGTCTTATAACGAATTATCTGGTGACTGACAGTACAGAGAGCAAAAGTTTATATTCTCCTGTAACTCTGAGTACCTTGGAAAGGAACTCCAGAGTTCCTGGAGCCACACAGGTGCTCACAAAAGAGCTCTGAGCCGTCCCTCCAGCTCTCCAGCAGTGAGGACACAGCCAGCCTTTGGCTTCTCTTCCCTCTCTCCCCACCTGAGAGTTACCTGAGGGCTGAGCTGTGAGAACAGACACTCAACTGGCAGGGTGATGAACCCCTGGGATGGGAGCAAGGAGGTGATGGAGAGACACAGCACAGCTGCCTTTGCAACACTTATCCTCACACATAAGGGAATCCCAACTGTCCCATTAAAGCTGCTTTCCAATCTCTTTAGGTATCTTAAGCTTTCAGGACAGGTGTCATCCACGGGAAGCAACACTAGCAAGATAACCCGTGTTCTGTTGGAAGAGAAACCTGCTTGTATTCCTGATAACCCCTCCCAAGGGGTTTGGGGACACTGCTCCACATTTGGCAGTTGTCACCTTGGATCCTACATTTGCTGTGTGACAGTGAGTTTTGTACTCTGTAGTCAAGGATCCTGCTACAAGTCTGGTTTCTGCCTTGAGAACAACGCAGAAAGATTCTGCAGTTTACATTTACTACATAACACACAAAGACTTCAAAAGATCTCATTCAAAACACGCCCTGTTCAGACAATGTATTTATTTGTCACTCTTGGCTTTGAGTTTGAGTCAATTCCATTCATTAAATCCAGTAACACAGATAACTGTTCTCATGTTTAACCTATATCCTGAGATTTGGTACTGAACTGATGATCTGTCCTTGAAGTTACTGCAAGTATTCCTGCAGTCTTCCTTCCTCAACCAGAGACCAGGCTGCATTTCACTGACTCTGCAGACAAATGCAACTTTTTCACAGAAAAAACCATTCCCTAGAAAAACCTGTCCTAGAGGAGCCTTTCTTGCATCAGCATCATTTTCTTGCTCAATATTCTCAAAGGAACAAGACAGAACTCACGTACTGCCAGTTCTATCTTAAGAAATGTCCTTACCTTTGGTGCTTTTGGGGATAATCTGCCCCCAGCGAGGCTTGTACTCTTGCTGACTGATATACTGATTGAATAAGCCATCTGCAAAACAAAAATGTTGCTGGATAAAGCATTTATACTTCCATTATAGCAAAATCACTTTTCATGTGGGTAACTTCAGCCTTACTCAAGCCAGTTTGCCACTCCAAAGCCTTCATGTTCAGTGAATGTGCCATTATATGTCAGTTAGTTTGTTAAACTTTTGTTAGTTTGTTAAACTTTTGTTAGTTTGTTAATGAACTAAATGTGAAAGCACTAAAATAAAAAGAATACTTGCTACTAGATCAATCAGGAATTATCCAGTTTGCCTGCCAGGTCATGCCAAGTGTCTATAAATCTCCAGTGTGGTGTATTTAATTAAGAATAGAATCCCTACCCCTTATTTAAGCAAAAAGGAAAGTTGCCAGTGCATATAAAATTCAACCATTTTAGTCCATGTGAAGTTAAAACTAGGTCAGACAGCATCTCTGGAGCTTCATCTGAGAAGAAAAGGGAAGTAAAGCAGATTGTTTAAATGCTCCGATATGGGACAAACGGGCACTGGATGAAAAACAAAATAATAGTTTACATTTTCTTCAGGGAGTTAAGCGAGAAGAGAAACAGAAGATGTGTCAGGTCACGGGGCAGATATGCCAACTGCAGCATTTTGGTGAGAAACACCAACTCCAGCACTTTATCCACACTCCCCTTGTGCTTTCCTCTCCCCGGTACACCTTCCACACGCCACCTCTTCAGCATCCAGAGGCCAGCTCCTAATTCTGGTTCTAGGTTATCAGTCTATCACATAAGCATTCATCTTTTGAAAAAGAGATTCAAAACACCCACGCCCTCCAGGACTGCTCTTCAGTCTGGGAAGGGCTTGGCAAACCTTTGGGGAACTTGGTGCTGCTGATCTTCAAATGTCTCCTCTAAAAAAGCCACCTCACCTTCTGCAGGCACAGCAGACTCTCAGACAGCACTGCTGTCCTGGCTGCATCCCACCCACCACCTCAACACACAAGCCCCTCCTGACAAGTGTTTGTGCTGCACTTATGCATTGCCTGAAAAAAAAGAAGGGAGTTCAGGCAACCAACATCAAATAGTTTTTAGTTCTTTTGACCACAGTAATTTCGGCTTTGAGGTAAGAGTTTAACAGATGATGGATGCCTCTGTTTATTTATAGAATGATCCTTACTGAACACATCCCTATTTATTTACAAAAAGGTAAAAATCTTTGCTAAGCATGACACAAGGTTCAGAGAAGATTTTAAAGTGTTTCCTGGCATCCTGTAGTTTGTCGTGACTGAAATCCAGGTTTTAATTAAACCCCAAGCCGGCAAGTATTTCCTGGGAGAAGATGAATGCTCTATTTAGAGACCATCTAATAGGAAAACAAGGGCACTCAAGAGCTCCTGAAAGGTGCTGAGTTTGGTCTGAAAACACAGAACTTCCATAAACTCAGCTGTGCAAGTTTTTCAAAATAAATACTCTGAAAACAGGGCAGGTTTTACTTTCACCTCAGAGCCAAAACCATCAGCTCTCTCCCCGCATTAGGTAATCGAGGAAAGCCAGAAGTTTGCTCAATGTATGTAGAAAGTGGTTTATTTTGGGTTTAATAGCAGGGTTCTTAACTCCCACTTCTTCAGCATTTATGAAGTTGGGACAACACACGAGAGGCTTGAAGCTTGAGATCTCATAAATTCTGATTCAGAAAAGCCAACTCTAATAGAACAAATGCATGTGCTGTAAGAAATCCCATAGTGACTCAGCCACAAACCCAGACAGAAAAGCAGCCTTTTGGTTACTGTTACAGCCCTGGGTCTGCACGACACAAACCAAAACCGTATTTACCCCGATGGCAGCCAACAGATAATTGGACATAAATAGCTCCAAAGGATGAATTACACCACATAGGATCTGAAAGGGTCATTTAACCTCTCTCCCATGCTCAACACCCACAGGCTGCACTTGTCAAGATACGACACTTCTCCCCTACTGTGCCTTCAGCCTCTTTTTATAATGCTTCTTGTCTTCCATGGGACACTGGTTTGGAATCACTCCAGCTTGCTTCCCAGAAATGTTTCTTTCTGCGGGGAGCAGTTCCACATTCATTCTACTTGTATTGCAAACCAGCAGCAGCTTGTTTTGGAAGCTGAATCACCACCTGTCTGACACCACCAGGGACAAAAAAAAAAAAAGAAAAAGAAAAAAAAAAGGAGGATTTCTAGGTGGATTCTGCACCCGATGCCAGACCTACGCCAGCGTACTCCTTATGTTCCTTGTCAGGATGGCTCTGCTGACCAAAAGGTCTCCAAAGCTTCTCCAAGGATCAGATCTAGGCCTGCTCAGCTTTGTCAGCTGTTCCCAATGAATCAGGAGTTTAAAATAAATTTCAAGACTCCTGACCAAAAAAAAAAAAAAAAAAAAAGTGTCAAGTGGAAGTTTTTAAAGGAAGTTTTCCTTCACTCCAGAGACCTCTCACTTCAATGTCCATGTTTACTAAAATTACAGACAAAACCTTGCTCTGTACTATTTTCAAGCTCTTCTCAGCAAGTCATGACGCATTTTGGATGCAACAACACGAAGTTCACAGTGGTTAAAGCTCAGTAAATTCTGCCACTCTGATAACCCAAGCCTTTATTTTGCCAGCCAACTGCAGGTTACCCAGAAAGGATTAGGACAAACACCATGGACAAAAATATTTAACTCGCTGAAGCCAATCAGGAACAAGCTGTATTAAGTTTGGGGGTTTTTCAGACAACACATTTGCAGATAGGATTACTAAAATCTATTCACTTCACTGCTAATGGCTGAAAAAACTTCAGAGTGACCCATAAGTTCTGGGAGTTGGGCTTTGGATTTTTAAAGAATTATGATTTTTCTCAAACCAAAGAAAAATACCCAGAACACATCCAGCCATTACTTGATAATTTCTTGGGAGAAACAAGGAAAAACATGTTTTTTTTTCTCCAGCCTCAGAGCTGTAATATTTTCTTCAACTTTGTTCTTCACAAAAATGAAACCAGGTCTGCTCTCAAGTCCCTATAAGTTATCCCTCTTCCACACAAACCCTACCATTTACTTAGGACAGGCTTTGGATCCCTAGCCAGCCCTTCCCCTCCATATATCTGAGCATTCAGAGCAGCAACCACACTTTCTCAGAATCAAATCCAAACAATATTGGATGGTAAAATTAAGGTATACGAGTCTGTCTAGAGCTCCCAGGGGAATACAGTTGTTCCTGTGCGTCCTGTTCCTGCACATCCCGAGTTCTGGGAGACGTCGGAGCCTGCAGGCTGTGCATCACTACTTCTTGTTTGTTGTGCAGGGCTCACTTGTCACCAGATAAACACATGTCACACCCTGACACGAGCAGTGCCACAAGGAACACCTCAGTCCCTGGAATACTAATACGAATCGAGCAGGTCTTCCATCCATTCCAAGCAGTTTTCCATGTCTACAGGAGCTGCAGGCAGCTCAACTAAGTAATTTGCACTCCACATACTCTCTTGCAGGAATATTAAGCAGATTTTTTTTCCCCCCTTCAATAATATAGGCCCGAGAGCTATAGGAACGGATCCAAATGCGAAACATTTGAACCGAGTCTGTGAACCAGCTGAGATTTAAGGGACCCTTTTCTTTTTGAGAGGAAGTCAGGCAGCTGCCAGAGTTTCCATTTGCCCGTTTTCGAAGTGCAACGCACGAGTCAAAAGAATCTGCGGGCGAAGTGTGGCTGCCTGCCACCGAGCTCTCAAAAGAAATCATCTGGTGATGTGAGGTGGAAGACAGCGCTCGTCATTAGCAATGCAAAAGAACAAGAGTTAGCTCTGCCAGCGCTAATTCTTGACCACCTACTCTTTTTCTACATGACTAAGCCTATGGAAATGGCCCCGCGAGAGATGCAGCGCGTCGCCGCTTTTTCAAGACCCACCACTGCAAAGATCGGCCTCTCCAGGAGACATTTTAGGCTGAACTGAGTGTGCAGTATCTCTGTCAACCTCGCTGCACTTCTGTTTGTGCCTTTAAGGCAATGAACTCCCAGATCAGCGAGCGGTCAGGAGTTCACATATTCATGCCCGGCCTGCAGCGGAACAGGCCGCTCTTTGAACGATTTCAGGGATAATTTAAGGATCTGTATGTCTCAATTAACTCTACACTTCAGCTACACTACACAGACACGGGACCAAAGTTAATCCACTTTTATTTGGAAAAGCAACACATCAGAGAGAGGAGCTCAGTGGTAAGAACACCCACACCTTAGAGACTAAGCAGCAGCTACGGAGACTTCACAAGAGAGCTGCTAAGAAAGTAAAATGGTAATAAATCATCGTAGAACAGCCCGGGTTGGAAGGGACCTTAAAGATCAACCAGTTCCAACCCTTATGGAAGGGTCAGGTCCTTATGGACAGGGACACCTTTTACCAGACCAGGTTGCTCAGAAAATGCTGAGGAGCTTAAGACATGCAGAGCAGACTAAGGACAGTGGAGCACCACAGGGAGCAGGAGGTAGGAAAACTGCAGGAGAACATGCTAAAGGCTGAAGACATCTATTCCCATCCCATCCCACCAGCACCAGTTAAGTACCAGTGATATTCAACACTCTGACTGCCACCTTGCACAACTCCAGCTGCAAACTATTCCAGCTGCAGTTTTGTGGTTATCAGAAGAGGTTTGTCCTGTCCACTGTCCCATCACAGCCTGAACAGCTCCATGCCCAGGTTTGCCATGAGGTAGCACGAGCACCAGTGCCAGGGGACACAGTGTCCTGAGTGAGGGCACAATTGACCCAGTTAGGGAAAACCTGCAGTCGTGTCAGCTTAAAGCAAATATGGGCTGCAGCCTCCGTGTCTCGGGATAGATGGCACTTCCCTCCGGAGGGTGCTGGGAGGCGACAGAGCTCAAGAGCTGAAGGCAGCATAAAGAATGGCAGGAGGATGGGGGAAGGAAGGTTAATATATTCCAAGACAAGCAAAATCATTAAGGATGACCAACAGAGCAATGGGAGATGCGCACGCTGACATTTAATTTCAGCTGGCCAGGTGCCGGATTAAAGTGCAGCAAAATAAACATCCTCACACATATTTTTCTGTCCCTCGGAAGCAGTGACAAAACAATGATGCTCTTGAAGACTCTCCTGCTAAATTACCCACTGTCTGTTGCGAGCAAGACATGCTTCTGTACATGCTGGAACAAAAAAAGGACTGATAAAACAAGTTACAGCATATTCCTCCCATTTGCTTAAGGGTTGCTGAGTTCCTCAGCCTTCCTAGAGGGAATGATCTCAAGAACCAGGGAAGCAGGACTGTCCACATCAAATCTGACACAGAACAAGTGTCTGTTTGTCAGACAGAAGACTGCAGGTCTTGTTTTGAACTACCAGGAGAGTCCTTTGCCAGTACTTCCAGCCCTGGAAAAGCTGAGCACTGTGGACAGCAACCCCGCTCTCAACATACACCAGCTCAGCTCAAGTCCTAAGGGAAAACTGCTGGATGAAATAAATGTCAAATATTAAGTAGAAAAGAAATAAAGATATAACAAAATAAAAAAAAAGTTACAAACATTCACTTCATTAGTGCCCAAGAAAAAAAGTCCATTTTTGAGGGAACTTTTTCAGCACATTCTAGACTTTGAGTGAAATTCTATTCGAGTTCCTACTCCAGCCTGCAATGAAGTGGAAAGAGGAGGGCCTCCAGGCACTGAGATTAAGTCACAGCCAAGGCTGTGCAATGATAAAATCATCACCATCAGCACAGAGCACTCCTCTGGCTGCTGTAGCATCCTGGTGGGCTCATCAGCTCCCCCAGGCACTCGTGTCTTTGCGACACAGACAGTAACAGCCAGCCACAGCTCCCTGCTGCTTTTCCAGCCTGCAATCCTCCCTTGCCCTTAAGATTCAGGAGGAAGCTGCCAGTTGCACAATGTCCCTGCATTGCAGGAAGCTGTTCACGCTCCCATCCCAGCCAACAACACTCCACGGGCTCAGGAGGGCAAGGATGAACGCTGTTCTCAGTCTCAACACTTGTAGCTGCTCCTGGAGCTCAGCACAGGGCAGGGCTCAGCTGCTCTGCCTAAGAAACCTTGAGCCAAACACACAGAAAACCACTCACTGCAGTTCTGGACGACCTGTTACAATAAGCTCCCTAAAACTGAGCTCATTTGAACAGCTTAGTCACAAAAAGATGGTGGATTTTCATGGAAGACAACTCTTGATTTTAAAGTTATCACTGCTATCAAATTCTGAGAACCACTACCAACTTCAGTGGTACAAGCCCCACTGCTGGAGTCAAGCAGGTACACCAGCATCTATCCAAAGGTATTACAAACTGACTGATTAGCCCAGAATCAGATAAAAACACCTCTGGTGCCAGATATCCATGAAATTGGTTCACTAAGTCCCTGACTCTACTGCCATCAGACACACAGTTCTCCTCTCATGCCAGCACAAGTGTCCCATGAGGAGTGACTGCACATATTCAAACAGCACTACACCCACAGCCAGGAGCACCACTCTTTTATCAGCCTGCAATCCAAAACCGCTGCACAGGTCTTGAGAGACACTTCAGTGCAATAGTCCAACTCTTTCTGCATCCCATTTTAACAACGGAAAGTACATCTCCCTCCTTTTAGGAGTTGAGAGCTGTTTATACACCATGTTTTTAAGTGGAAAGCTTCCAAGTAAAAGATTAATAGTATTTCCAGTGAAACCAACAAGGTCCTGCTCTGCAAGGGAAAACAGGCAGTGCCTCTAGTCACTGACTTCCACACCATTCTCCAAGGATTATTTTCCCCATAAGAAAAAACAGCACTCTCATCCAGATACAGATGAAAACTTCTGCCTGAACACCAACTTGGTGGCAAGTTCCAACCAGAAACCATGATCCACATCACCACGGAGAACTCCAGCTGTCAGCTTCCCTGCTCACCACTTCAGTGACTTTCCTGATAGTCAAGCCCACCCTCAGCTTGCCAACACTTACATGAAAAACTTATCTTTACCCACTCAAGTGCACCTCGTTGTCATCTCTGGGGGAAGGAGACTCCAAAAGCAGCAGTGACAAGACATTTCATGACTGAATTTTTAGCCCTCGTCACACAACACACTCACAAGCCCAAAAGCTGACAGCACACCACACCAGACATCAAACAGCACACAGACCAGCCAATTCTACTACAAAGCACATTAACACTCAAAAAAGGCAATATTTCAATGGGGTGGTTTTTTATAATTAATTTTTTATAGTTAACATATCAGACTCCTCTGAGCCTCTTACCGTTCACAGCTTTTTCTATCAGTTCTTCACAAGCATCAAAGTCTCCCTTCAACACCAGCTTGTCGTGGAGGTCTGTCAACATGGGGTGCTCCAGAGCAATCTTGGTTTTCTTCTGCAGCGACTCGAAAGCCTCGGTGTAGTTGTGCTGCCGAAAATGCTTTAGGCAAAGGCGAATGGCTTCCTGTTCACGGTACTACTGGAACACAAGAAAACCTATGAGACATGTAGATTTTTCCTTCCACCAGCACTGCTGGGAGCTACCTGGGAACCTGGAGCAGGATCTCTCGTCCACGCTGCACAAATTGCTCGCCAGCTCACAGAGGAATGCTGTGTGGACGACATTACAAGCTGTGCAGGCATTTACTTTCCAACGGTATAGAAGTTATACAGCTTGGTATCATCCAATTTAATGAGAGTACAAGAAGGGAGTGCACAGTGTCCCAGATCTCTGGAGTGACCATTAGTTCCCCCCCATCTGCTTGGCCCTGCTGTTCGAGGCCTACACGAAGCGCAGAGCAGGAAAAAGCCTTCGCTATCAGCGTTACATAATTTGATTGTATGACTCTTACATAACAAAATAATTTAGAAGAGTAAGTAGGTCACAGCTTTTCTAGGAGCAGAAGGAAAAAAAAAAAAAAGCCACAAGAATAGGAATACTTGCAACGACCACCACTCCTGCAATGGAAAGGCTGAAGGCTGGCCCCAAATCCTGCGGGTTCGTGAGGGTTTTGGATCAACGGCAACAAGGATTTATGTGCACAGCAAAGTTTTAACTTCTAAATATTCCCCTGCATCTTGAAGCAGAACCTCTCTGAGCCACAGCTGCCCATATCCCACCTGACTGTGGAAAGGGGTGACTAAGGTGAGAGAAACCCACACTGGGTCCAACATCCCTGCACAGACACGTGAGGGAATAGTAAACTCTGAGTAAGACCCACAGTTTGTGCTGTTAGCCGACCAAATCTTCCACTGTGTTTTCAAAGCTGCTAACAACATGCATAAGAAACACAGATTTTTAAGGTGATAAGTAGCAGAACCACTTATTTTAAATAGACTCTTCAAACCTAAATTCTAAGGCATTAAAGAAAAAAAAAATAAATCTCAATTTCCATCTTTAACACGCAACTACTGTGGTAAAAAGCAAAATGTAACTTTAAGCAGCTATAAGATTGATTAAATTACAGACAAGAGATTTTAATCCTAAGTGGACACTACTGCTAAAAGTGAAGTTTATGGTATTTAAATGAATAGAATCTTTGTGAAAACCTGGAACTAACACTGACTCTCAACAAAAATTAGTGCTCTCAGAATAATGGCTCGATAGCAAGAATTTCACAAACTGAAGCGGCTAAAAAGAAACACGGCCATGTGATATATTTTTAGTTCTTAATCCATCAGTATTTCACAGCTGCAAATAGCCAGAACTATGCATTTTTAGAAAACCAGTTCCCAGCCCACATGAAAAAGGCCAAGGACATGCACTGATAAGAAAGCAAGGCTGCAGCAAAGGAGTATTGAAGCTAAAACAGTTTTACAGCACAACTGGCAAAAAACAACTGTTTTTTTGTCTTTCCAACAGATATCTAAGACACTGTCTTTAAGAAATGTTCACTTACATCAAAGCCAAAACCAAATTAGATCCCTGTTGTTCAAAGGGATGGCAAGCAAAAGCAGAGCTGCACACCAGTAACAACCAGCTTCTGCTTTTTCAGATCCTCCAGTTTAGAAATTAGGCAAAATTCAGACTTGCTGTATTTCCACTGAGCTTGGCTTCTAAAACAGGGAATGACTGCTGGGTGCAGGTTGGTCACTCAATACCATAGAAAAGTTTCTATTCAAGTGACATCATAGTACTGCTTCAGAAGTTAAATATGAAAACCTCTTTTTTATGCAAAAAGGTGTATAAAAAGCATGTAAAAGGCTCCCTTATAAATGCTGTCATACAGGTTTAAAGAGAAGACAACCCAAATAATAGCTCTGATCTGAAGTTGTAAATAATTCCTATGGTTAAAAACGTAACAGCAGCATGAGACCAAGATATTAACACTGTCAAACACACTCGTAGAATTAAAAATAAGTTCATGTGCTCCTTATTAAACTACCACTTCTTAGGTGCTGAAGTTTGCCCACTCTTCAGGAGAAAGGGATAAGGCTTTTGTGAGGCAGTAGGCTGAGCTGGACAGCAAGGAGAAAGCAGTAGGGGGGAACTGAGGAGTGTGCTGGCTGCTTTCAGTCCTTATCCCTTACCCCTGACTCCACTGCCTGCAGGAAAGGGAGGTTTTGCTGGCACACAACAAAAAGGACAGGCAACTTCAAGCAGAACCTTCTTCTCATCTGATGTCACAGGCAGTAAAGAAATACTAGATTTCAAAGCCTCTGAGATTCCCAAAGACATGCATGAAAATATTCACAGCAACTCAAAGAAACAGGTCAACCTTCCTGCCTTTCCCAAAACATGGGTCAACACATACTCCTACGTGGATCCAGCAACAGTGGCCTCTCAGGGTTGGGAGGGAAGAGAACATTAGTGGCACATGCACTCATCACCAAAAACTTGGCAGCTGATCCTAGCAGAGCCCAGACCATCATGACTAAGTCTCTGCCTTGCTGCTTTGGGGCTCTCAAGCTTTAGGAGAACAATGCTGGCACCCCCTGAAGAAGCTGTCACTACACTCATGCTGACCATGAAAAGTGCCGATTCCGTGGGATAAGATGGAAGAAAACAGATGCAGACATCATCATCAGATGGCTCCTAACCAAAAAAAAAATACAAATCAGAGCTTTCTGCTTGCAGCAACTGGTCCAAACTGCCAGACACAGCACCACGTGCAGAGGCAGCAGAGAAAACCATCAGCAGCTTCTGTCAAGTTGACTCTTCAGAAGTGGACATCGATCATCAGCTGACTAATGACCACACCACCACTTGGATCATAAAGCAGCTACAGACAACTTGTCCTGTGCTTGTTAGGGCTGCATTGAAATCCTCCCTGCAGAAGCTCGTGATGTTGGTTTAAGTGGGTATGAGCCAGACACCACGGTCACACATTTTCCTCACCACACTGGCAGCACCATGAACTGGTGAGGGAGTCTCACTGCTAATCACACAGTCTCTATATCCCCTTCTAAGCTTTTCCTTTTGGAAGCAGAGCTACATTGCTCCACTATTCAGTCTTATTCAGCTGGGAAGGATGTCTCCTCTGCAACACAATATGAATCTCATTAATTGTTCCAGAAGATCCAGTGCATAACATGCAGCAACAAAATGAATTCTGGTTGTCAGTGTGCACTTCCCTCCCACAGGAAAGGCGTCTCTTGTACTCAATTAAACACTGTTTATACAAATAACGTTTGGAACCTTCTGAACTATCAAAGTGACAAATGGCATAAATCATCTCATCTCACAGTCCAGCAGCATCGGCCCCACTCTGTTCCAGAGTGTTCAGCAAAAACACAGAAAGAGGGAAACATCAAAAGTGCAAGGAGCTGCAACAGGAAAGACACCAACACAGATTCTCTTTAAAACAAGCTCATTATATACCCTGTAACAAAAGCTGCACCTCTAACCCAAAAGCCTCTGCACTCACGTAGCTCTACGGACTGGCACCTTAAAAGAATGACTAATCAAAAGGCAAAAAGAGAGGGGAAATGGAATCTGGTTTTGTCAAGATTCATTTCCCTTCCAATACAAATACTATTTTCCTAATATTGTCCCCTCTGAGTAAGTGTTTCTTTGTTTTATGTTCTTCTTACGGTGTCTACGTGGCAGGTTTTTGTGGTGGTTTTGGGGTTTCTTGAGAGTGTTTTGTTGGTTTCTCAAAGAGAACAAGCAGATGCAATTCAAAAAGATTCCCTTGGAGTCAAAGTCAGCCATGTGGTCTGAGTTTTTGCTGGTTCTGATATTCAAGGAGTGAAAAGGTCACATCAATTCCAGGAAGACAAGTTTCACAACATTCTGAGACCGGGAATCTTCAAATAAAAAAGGCAGCTAAAATGCAGGCCTACCTTGCTGTACCAGTTGAGGCACGGCTGGACCACATCTGGATCATCAATGCCATTAAGTTCAACATACCAGATACTAAAATTGAAGCTAGGCCCCCAGGACAAGAGTGGAACTGGAGAAGAAAGGAAAAGGAGAGAAAGGCTGCATAAACATCAAACAACCACTGCATTACACAGTACTATTGCAACAGAATGCTCTTAAAGGTTACACAAATTTCCGTATTTCAGATTTGACTTAAGTTCTAGTTTGTTTAACTAAGCTTATGAAAATTACTGAATACATCATGCTCAACTTGTCATTTAAAGCAACCTGTGCTGAGCAACATTAACACAGCAGATCATTACAAAGCAGAAGCTTGCTTTAAGCAAAAGAGCAAAAATACTATCATTTAAAACAGCTCCAAGAGGCAACAAGCTTTGACAAGGCTGGGAATCACGAGCACACTAGCGACAGTATTTGCTCCTCATAGTACATTTATTTCCCCATTTGTCAGCAACAATTATTTTCCCTAATGGTGAAGACAAGAAGCTTGGGTATTTTAAATTTTACAAAATTAGTAACATCTGCAAGTTGTGGAGGAGGGAGGGAGGGATAACTGTCAGTTCCCAATTTAAAAACTCTAATTTTTTTTTTTAAAGCTTTAATCTGTGCAGGTTTATGCTGAAACTATTTTATCTGAGTATTGGAACAAATGTACTTAAAATACTAAAGGACCCATGAAAGACATTGCAGCCTCTCACCTACAGCTCCTCTACCACTCTGGGTTAGTATCTGAGGCCTTGCACTGATCTCAGGATTAATCTGCAGGTTAAGACTTGGTTCTGCTTTTTGAAGCAGCTCCAACTCCCCAAAAAACTTGTGTGTGAACTCTGACTCCTAAAAACTGCAGTGAAATCAAGTGGTTTCATTTCAAATACTTTTGTTTCCTTTGTATTTGACTGTAACTGATAAACAGGAAAAGGCAGTATTAGAGGTGAATGTGCAGTTACCAGCAACAGCAAGGAGTCCACTACCTCCTCCCTTCCACTGTTTTTGCCACAGAGAAATTACTTGTTGTCTTTCAAACCACTATCAAATACCACTGAGATTACTCTGTTGAACTAAGGTTTTTCTGACCTACTCCTACTCCATGAGGGAACAAAAAACCCCAAGCTTATCAAAAAGTTGTTCCTGAGCTCTTAAAGGTTCTTAAGTATTTATACTTCAAACAGGCTACATCTATTATTTTCTGCAGTGTGTTTGGGCACAAAGCACATGCTCAAACACCTGATTTTCTTGAGTTTTAGAGGGTGTACTTACAAACCTATTTCTAAAGGCTCATTATAACTTCTGGGAACAGCCATCCAGAGTAAAGATTTTTTAGAAAAGATCCAAAGAGACTTTGTATATGCAACTCTTAACTGACTTTAATATCCATAAGTAGGTACTTTCTATGTTACAGCTCTCAAATCATCTTTTCCAAGAGCTTATTTCTACTTGATTGTTCAGCACACAAAGCAAAGCAAGATGCTTTCAGAACAGGTCCTTTTAGGTGCATGTTTGTGGAGACAAGAGAGATGTGAACTGGTCAGAAAAACCACGAGTCACCTGTCTCCCATCCACAGTCCACACACTCTGCCCAGGAAACTTCCTTCTTGCTTACTTTTGTCCTCCACACAAGGTGAGTGCTGCCAATATGGTCCCTTAATACCATAAAACATTCCTACTTCTAAATCCAAGCACAGAGATCAGTTTGATCCCGGATATCCTCCCCATTAATGCAGCAGACTGAAAATACCACACGTAAGGGTAACACAGACACCTTGGGTCTGTCTTCAGACCTGAACACACAGATCAGAATAAACTGAAGTTAAATCTGATATCTGGTCAGGTACAGAGATCAAAGACCAGCAGATCATTGCACTGACACACTGAACTGAACCACAGACCACCTCAAATGCACCCAGACCATGAATTTCCTGAGGTGAACCTGAGGCAAATTTCCTCACACCGAGTTTACTGGGTGAAAAACCAAACCAAGTACTACCACCCTCTCACCTCTTTCCAGAGAACACACAGAGGTATCCACCTGTACTTCTCTTCAGCAGTTCTCCTCAGAACTTCAGTAAGCTTCTCCCAGAAAAAAAAAATTAACAATTCATCTCTTTGTAGCCAACTACAACACCAAAGAATATACTGGGGTGCACAGAAGAATCCTGGACAGCTCTCACAACCACCAAAATGCAAAGCCATCAACTTGCTGACACTTCTCCTCCCCACAGCTAACTCAGCTTCCAACAGTCTTTTTTACAAAAAATAAACAAAACACCAGAAATGGTGCAACTTTCATGGTGCAACCATCTATTCCAAGGAAAGTACAGATATTAAACTGTATAGGGAATGCAAGGCAAATGCCTCCCTAGTGCTGAAAAACTCTTCCCCAGACAGAGAAAGCTGAAGCTGATCTTCATCAGCTCCTCCATAGGAGCAGGAAAAGAAACAAAGCAGAAGGGTTGAAAATGGAATGTGATTTCTACTCCAGTTCAGCAAATTCAAGTGTTCTGCTGGATCATCTCCCCACTTTTTATCCTCTCCTCTGGCTCCCAGGAGACCCCTCTCACCCTTTTTTTTCATCCCTCTCCTTTTTGAGGTGTGCTCAGCTCTTCAGACAAATGTCCTGTTAGAGCAGCCAAAATCTGACTTTGACCTGGAAGGAGCAGACACTAAGTGCAGCAAGGAAGTAGTTTTTTCCTGCACATCTCTGAGGTGGAAATACACTGCAATTAAAGGTGTTAAAAGCCCAAAGCTACATTATTCCTCCAGTTTTTACCATAAAGCCCCCTCAGCATGCCTGGGTTTTTTCTGCAGGTACTACAGCAATCCATCCTGAAACACGTGTAACTGTTCATAACAGTTGAACTGTCACTCCACAGTGAGAGGAGTCCAGCAGAAGGAAAAATAATAATTAAAAAAAAAATAATCAATATCCTTCTAAGAAGCAGAAGGCATTTGAGTCACTTAAACAGTTCTTAATCCATACAAGGATGATTTTAGGGGATACTTCTCAGTAATAGCTATGTCTAGACAAGGACTGTGACTCTGTATTAGAGGAGACAGTAGCAGAGGCACTAAAAACAGCACAATAAGTTGAAATACCTCTCACAAGGTGATTTCTGTTTCCCTCATCTATAGGCACAGACAGACAGTGTATGCTTTTAAAAATTAAGAAAACATCCATGAAGAAAAAAATTGGTCAGATTTGTTACACCAAATCTTAAAAATCTTGAAGCCTGGTTAGCAACTCCCATGGTTGTAACAAACTGGCATGAGAATTACACCTAGAATTTTTCATCTTTCACTGCAATCAGTCTTTGCACCTTCTGCTTTCAAGGACACAGCACAGAAAAATCTCTGCTTGGAGGAACCACAAGAGCAGAGCCAAAAACAAAGCTCACAGACATTAAAAAGATTATTTTTCGATATTTTGTCCGGATAAGTATCTTCTTCCCTCTCTCCAGTTCTGTAATGAGGTGCTACATGAAATGTAAAAATTACCTGTCAAGTAGGTCAAAAGCTGCACAACTGGGCATTTCAGTGCTCAGGAACTGAAGTTGAACTAATTAAACTAACAGAAGTGCAAGGCTTCTCTTGACAGGAGGAGAGGGATTATTCTTTCTGCTTTCTATGAGCCTGAAACTTCCTTTGATATGAGAGCAATGGAAGCTGTAGGATGAATTTTACCCTCTCCCAGATCAACCCATGCCAGGTTCCTCCTGCTCTGTCCCTCCCTAAAAACCTCTCTGTATATTAACAGTGGTGTTGTAAGGTCTCTGTGCTGATCTGCAGAATTATAAAGCAAACTCCTGATGCAAATGCTGCCCAATGCCAATGCCTTTCCCAAAACCCAAACCTCACTGATCACAGGAACTCTGGTGGTGTCAAGTCTCCAAGAGTCCGAATTTGGCCTCGTTTCCTGGCAGACTTAAGAGGAACACAGCACGGTGCTTGAAATTTGGAGTTACTTTGGCCAACAGCTTGGAAATTCTAACAAACTCAAAACATTTTCAAGCTGTGAATCTGAAAAATAACGGAATTTCGTAACATTGTTTTGCAGTTGTTTCACAGCAAAAAACACTCTCACAACGTCATAGACAAAGTGACACCAGCCATCAACCCGAGGTTTTCACAGGTTTTGGTGAAAAGATCATTTCCAGTTCTGTTCTAGCACAGGAATTTCTTCATGGAAGGCAGCCTCAAGATAGAGTTGAAGGACAACTCATCTCAAACTGTAACTGGTGAACAAGTGACAGCTCAATCTAAATCTAATATTAATGTATATCATATAGGATGCTGACTCATGGAATGGTTTGGGTTGGAAGGGACCTTAAAGATCATTTAGTTCCAACCCCCTGCCATGGGCAGGGATACCTTCCACTAGACCAGGTTTCTCCAAGCCCCTTCCAACTTGGCCTTGAACACTTCCAGAGATGGGGAGTCCACAACCTCTCTGGGTAAACTGTACCAGTGTCTCACCTCCCTCACAATGAAGGATTTCCTCCTAATATCCAATCTACATCTACCCTCCTTCAGTTTAAGGCCATTCCCCCTTGTCCTATCACTACCTGCCGTTGGGAAAAGGGCTACATAAAAATCCCATTCCAACAAAACAAGCTGCTCATTCCATGTCAGAGAAAAAAATCCTGGCAGTAGAAATGAATCAGCATTTCACCATCCTAACAAGCTACAGCTTAGTGCTACACTTCATTACATCAGAACACACTTTCCTGGAATACAATTTACACACCCAGAGAAGAAGCTAGTAATCTCTGCATTGGCCCTTTTAGCCCTCCAGGAACTACTTGCTGCTTTTAGCCCCTAAAAAATAACATTTCCCAAAAACCTAATGCTGGAAGCTTCAGAATAAGAAATTAAAAAAAAAAAAATAAAAAAATATTTTAACTTCCCTTATGTAGTCAACCTTTAACTCTAATCCTCTGCTACTCTTGAGGTTTCCTAAAGCCAAGTGTTACAGATGCTTCCAAAAGCAGCAGCCAGAAACAAACCCAAAGAACAACCAAATCCTCTACTTCTCCAAGAACAGGAAACCCCACCGTTTATGGCACACAAATGATTCCTGGATTCCCAGCCTGAGGCTTTCAGTTCCTCAGGCAAACAGGAGGAGATTCAGAAAGCTGTGTAAAACACGCCACAGCAAAGGGTTCCCAGGGTGCCCCTACACAGCCACTATCAGCTGAGTCTTGGCAAAAGAATTACCCAACACATCAAAACACTCCTAAATTCACCTAAATTAGCCAATGGGATCTTTACCTCCTTTTTCAGCAACTACCTCCCTCCCCTATTTTTAACCTTAAACATTTAGTTTTAAAACCAGTCATTCTTGTACTATCTCAGTAGTTAGGAAGGGGAAGATAAATTTACTGAGCAAGCCAAAAGGCTCCAAATTCTTGAATTAAATCCAAGAATTAAGACTCCTGTTCCCTCTGGCCTGCAGGAAGCAAGAAAGAGATCCTCACCCCTGCTCCCATCACACACCCCCATGCCCCCTCAGCCATCCCCTCCAGCCAAACCAGACACCAGGGGTACAATCCTTCTGGTGCCCCTGGATGACATCTTTACCCAGAGGTGAGACACAATATTAGAGTAGCAGGAAGAGAACAAGGGAGGCTCCTGCTGTTGCTTTATGTGTCACAAGCATGTTTGAGAATGAAAGGTTTCAAGCTTTTTTCAAACTTTGACTGGTACTTCGCTTAATGAGTTATTTAAAGTTCTGTACAGCAGTTTATAGGAGGACAGGAAGCAGCTTCTCCCACAATGAAGTTGACTCAACAACTGTATTTCTGAAAATTACTCCGTTTTGCTCTCACTCCCCAGGATTTAAATTATGAAGGTATTATTTCTTATTAACAGGACTTCACTGTGTTCCAAATCTAACCAGCCTACAAGATGATGAAATGGAACAGCTATTGTGGATACTTTGCCTGAGTACAATGAAGTCACGAGTGCCAAGACTGGCACAAGTATCAGAAGAGATTATTTTCTACTCAGAATGCTGAAAAAATGCATTTACCTATCTTAATGAATCGACAGGGGAACATCTGTTCATCAATTTTATGCTTCAAGGTGAATGTTTCTTTGTTATAATCATTCTTTAAGCCACTGTGGGAAAAAATAAATAAGGTTACTAAATCTTACCTTGTATTTTAGAACTAGCTAATAAATGCAATCTAGGTCATGCCTGAAACACGAAGCTTGTTTCATATCACTCTGAATCATAAGTACACGTGCTGGACCAATGCCTGGGCTGTTCTCCACCACCTTGTGTCTCCCTGGGAGGCAGCACTGGGTGGTGATTTTGGGAGGGAATTGACTTTGGTTCAGTGCTGCTCCCCTGCCCCTGTGACTTCAGCCAAGGATCTGCTGAACTGAGCTTTTCCATTCTCCAGAGGGAGAAGGATCAAATCTCAAAATTATCACCCTGACAAAGTGCTTTCTGATCCATTTATGGGCATTACTTCATAAAAATATCAAATATTTAGTATAATTTATCAAAAATCTTAAGTTCATTTTTACTGAAGATGCAAGTACAGGTCCCAAAATGAGGATTTTTATTAAACTTCAGCACAAGTGAAATGACATTAGATATCAGTAATTATTACGATACTAAGACCTCTTCCCTCACAGCTGTAGGAGCAATAAAGGCAAATTGCAACACTGGTCTATCTAAAGAGGGCAGAAGGGTGGGAAGGGTTGTGGATGGTTTCTATATGGTCATGAAGAATACCTGCAACACAGAACTTCCCATGTTTCTCCATGGCTATTCTGCTTGGCTACAGATGATGTACGCCCATACATTCCTGGAGGTGGACTTCTCTTCTGGAGGCCTCCCAAAATAGACTAGTTCTTGCTTCTCTTGTACTCCTGGATATTTAACTCTCATTTCCCTTTCTGAAACAGCAGAGTCCTTAAAAGGCCCTTGCAAATTTACATTGGCAACTACTATGGAGTTCTGGATAACGTGAACAGCCAAAAGGCTCTTTTTCTTCAGTCCTCATCCAACCCTAACTACCAAATCCAACTAAACGAAGGAAAATGCAGTTTTTTCCCATCTGCCTGTTTAATTTATTTACCCATTTGAGGAAAGGCAGAGCAGATGACTAGTTCAGATCTTTACAGCTGCAATGAGGTTTTTAGGGAGCTTACTTGGGCTTTTAAAAGCTACTTCAAAGTTACGCACCTGGGGAATCATTTCTCTTGTGCCTCAAGCACAGGGAAGGAAGGAATCACAATCCACCAACGCTGCACCCTGCTCTCAGCTCTTCCAAATCCCCAAATTCGCTCTCCACAAATCCTCTGTGGTTAGAGCAGGATCAGGAAGGCTTCCTGAAGTGAGTGTTGGGATTGCTGCTCTGACCTGACCGTAAACACGAGGGCAGATAATTGCAGGATCACAACCACAGCTCTGCTCCGCTGTTGGCTGCGTCTGCTCGGGAACCAGGGGGGAAGAGCATTTTGGTCCAGCCTTTACAATTCCATAGCTGATGGAATCATGTCTTACCTGGACAAGAGATCTGTCATATTCTCCTCATTCATCCCACCAAAAACTTTGAACTTCTTTAAATTGCAGACGTGTGTTTTCTCATATTTGCCAAACGTGATGCTCTGGACTATGGCAGGTCTTTCAAGTTTCAGAATCAAATACTGTGGAAGAGAGAACAGTGGATTTTAATATTAAAGCCAGGGCTGCAAAACACACTAAGGGAGAAGCATTACAGCCTCCAAAAATTCACTTTCATTCTTTTAGCTTTGTAAACTGAAGATGAAACTTCTCCATTATTATATTTCCTCCTTTGTACTGGAATGAAGAAAAGGGTTTTTTAGGAATATTCCTTTAAAAGTAGTTTATCCAGGAAAAAGATGTGGTTGAACTATCTATTCCTAGCAATTCTATTCAGGACTTACATACGTTCCTTTAAGTTGGACGCAAGACTTCCTGAAATCTGGCAAATAGGATCAAACTACAGGGAGTGAAGATTCAAACGCCCACCACAGCCTGAAATGAAACCTAAACTGAATACACAATTAGATAAAAACAGTATGTTCCACATGCTAAGAGAACATCAAATTACTTTTCCTCTCTGGGCTGACGCTGTTTAACCACTGAGCACAAAGTTTGGTGCGTGGAGAACACAGGAACCGACTGCTTATTAACCATCCCAAATAAAACTGAGCCACTTCGTGACAATAAAGGTTCTTTGCACAGAAAATGATGAAAATGCGCTCACTTGTGAACATTTGCTGCCCTCTTACACCCTGGGGACACATCAGTGTGTGAATAGTCAGGTGATTTATACTCGGGCTCCAGCTACCACCTTCACCGGCACTGCTGGAGGAAAAGGGCTGTTCCCAGGGAAAAGCAGGTGCAGGGAAGCACTTGCACCATTCATCGGGGACCACTGAGCACCTTCCCCACCAAACAGGTCTTGGGGGGACTGTAGAGACATCCTGTTTTGCAGAATATGTGGAGTTTTATACCTGAAAACAACGCGTTTAATTCTTTTCCCTGATTTCTCCGAACTAAGCAGAGCACACGGGGAACCGAGGCAAAGCGCAGAATCACAATTACTCATCGTGCTGGATTTTGTTACAAAACCCCATCAGGACTCCAGCACAAGTAGATCAGCACAGAGCTGTAGGACACCTCCCACCACAGGCTCTGCTGGTGGCCCTGTCCCTCCAAGCAGCCAAGCCAGACTTGACACCTTATTAATGCTCTGCTTGATGTCTTTCATCGACATCAGAGTATTTTGCATGTGTGTGGCTGCTTTCTGTGGATCCTGAGTAGAGACTGAGTAGTCTCCCTGTCAAGTGCCACTGACATCACTCTGCTTAGGATAAACAGCTCCATCAGTAGGAGAACCTTATCCTAGAAGTGTAACTCCTGGGAGAGAAGAAGAACAAACTTGCCCATCCGTTTAGTTCTCAGTCTTTCTGTCTCAGCCCTACAGAGTTACTAATTCTTAACCTATGAGCAGGACTGACATCACTCTGGAGAGCACCAGGATAAAGATGGGATGGATAAAGGTTCCCAGCAGCTGGTTCCCACTACATTCACAAGAAGCTTAGATTGAAAGAAATACTTGTACATACAACAGTTGCAGATAATGCAGACTGGGTAGGTACCTAACAGAAGCTGATTTACTGCCAAAGATGTCTCCAGCAACTCAAATTTTTTCAGAGTGAAGAAAATAAACCAGTGTCAGCACTGCAAGGGTACAACAGAAGAATGCTTTGGTGTGTTTCCAGATTTTTCTTAATGAAAAATTCCTAGTTCTGTGAAAACACCATCCACCTAAATATCAGAACCCACTGTTAGTTTAACCAGCAGCAAGCCACACTTTTGTCTCAAAATATTCCCTAAACTTCCAAAAAAAACTCCTGAAGTTCTATAAAGAAAACTGATTTTCTAATGCAGAGGAGAGGAAAGGATGAGCAAAAGGACAGTCCTGTAATGAGTAAGGCAGTACTTGATACATGGCACAGCCCGCTGCCAAAATTCCCATGCAGAACAGACAGTACACAACGTCTAAGAACTCCTCCCACACCATCATATCTTCCCTGCAGATTTCTCCCGAAGCTGGAAAAGCAAAGCCAGCACTACCAGCAATTGCAATTCTTAATCCTGCTGGAATCCCAAACCTAATGCCTGGGCCATGAACACATACTCTCTCAAGTACCACACAAGATTTGCAAAACCTTGGCACAAAGGTCGTCCTGCATTATTCAATTCTTAGCCTAAATTATGGGAGAGAAAAGCAGGACTGCACTTAAACCCTTTGTGCCCCGAAGGGAGCAAAGCACAGCAATTACTCCACAGGGCCAGCACTGATTTCCTAACCCTACAGACAGAAGGGAACTCTGCAGCCCTCCTTCCCGCTTCCACACATCCCACCACCTGCTGAGTCACACAGACCCCACAGAAAATAGAAGCACAAAAGCTAAACACAACCTTTTTGTGAATTTATCCACTGACTGATATGGAAACTAAAGACAGGTTTGCTTTAAAACCCCATACCTAGGTATGGACTACTGTATTTTTTAATGCATATACACACACACACTGAAAGACTTTTATGCTGAAAGAAGGGAAATTTAGGTTAGATATTAAGAAGAAATTCATTACTGTGGGGGTGGTGAGGCCCTGGCACAGGTTGCCCAGAGAAGTTGTGGCTGCCCCATCCCTGGAGATGTTCAAAGCCAGCTTGGACAGGGTTTGGAGCAACCTGGGATAGTGGAGGTGTCAGGGGGTTGGGACTGGATGATCTTTAACATCCCTTTCAACCTACACCATTCCACGATTCTATGATACATATAAAAATACAGACATAATATACTTTTTGGGTTTCTAAACACACACACTGCTGCCACTCTGTGGGTACCAGCTACAAATCTCACTGATGTTGAAAAAACACTTTGCCTCAAGAGCTGCAAACAGCTGGGCTGCATGGATATTTTTGGACTGCTACCAGGATTGTAGCCACGACAGACTATTCTCTATGGCTTTGAAAGAAGTGGCAGAACTGTATGTAAGACCAAGTGATTTATTCAACCTGGAGAGAACAAGTCTATGAGATTTCAGGCCAATACATACACCAAGATACTTGACACTTTTCCTATTGCAATAAGCAACATCAGTACATTTAATGTCCACGTATTCGCGCAGTATTCCCAAAGTCCAAATTATAAACTCAAAGAGTTTGTTCGTTAAAACAGGGCACAAGGACACTAACTGGAATAACTGAGCAAAAACCTCAGCCCAACTGTTTAAGCCTCGAACTACAACACTTACAAAGGAGATGCTACAAAACATTAGAAGAGTAAAACTTCTGGTTTATGACTCAACATATTTGTAAGTGAAGATGCACAAAGAGTAAAGTCACGTATAGCACTTCAGCACCCCAACAGCTCATTACACTGCACCCAAAATAAAGTAAATTCAGCCCTGTCACACTGGGAGCTGCAGCAAATTCCAAACTCTTTTGAAGCTCTGGTCTGTGCTACCATTTGATGACAACCATATGAAACCTTCTGCATCACACAACTGAGTGTAAATTTTATTAATGCACTTTACATTAATTCCTGATACAATCTACTGAGTAGGATGGAAATCAAGAGAGGAAAACTAGTCTTCCCCGATGCAGAACCAATTGTGCCCACAATGCCACTAACTTTCTACATATGCTCTTCCAGTATTCAAAATTCACATTTCAAAACCCACAAGGTTGGAATGGGTTACCCAGGAGGTGGTAGAGTTACCATTCCCTGGAATGGTTACCATTCCAATCCCTGGAATGGTTCAAGAAATGACTGGATGTGGCACTTAATGACATGGTCTGGTTGATGAGGTGGTGTTTGGTCAAAGGTTGGACCCTATGTCAGAGGTCTTTTCCAACCTACTTGATTCTGTGATCATTATACTGAACCAGATTCAAAACTGCACTGCACAAGCTGCCTGCACAATTAGAGTCACACTCTAATTTATTAATTTCTTTCTCTTTAAGTATTTTTTTTTATTATGGAGTAGTGAAACTTGTACTGCAGGTAAAAATAACCACCACAACATAACAAAATAACAGGAGCTGTTCTTGTCCATGACACAAACCTCCTGATTGCTTTTTCAATTAAGTTGGTGGCTAAATAAAAATCTATCCTTTTGTTCTACTCATTATTAATCAAGCCACTCAGGGAAATTAGATGCTGTTCTGTGTCAGACCATCACTAGAATCATCAGGATGAGCCTTTATGACAGAGCTGTGGTCTTCAGCATCACCAGCCTCATTGCTTCACACTTCCTATGTAAACTGAAAACTGGATTAAAAATAGACCCATCAGCCCTCTCCTGCTTGAATAGGTTACTACATAACAGGTTTGTTATTAAATATATAATTTCTGGGTCATCTATTTCAAGACTCAAGAAAGATATCTAATTTAATAAACAGAAAACCAGCTGTCAGATGTATTTCCTTTCACTGGCACTCATTCATAACCAACTGGTGGCTTTCAAGGCCATGAGAATTACTTAACTCTACCATACCCATAAAGCCAGGAAAACCCTTTACTAAATACAGTCACGTGGTAGCATTTCAAGTGTCCACATTTCCACTTTCATTCTCTTCCCTTCCTCAAAAAGGTTTGATACAGATTCCAGCACAATTTACTGCATTTTCATGGAGCTACTGAACACATTTTGAGGTTCTTACCTACGTTCTTCCAGCTCGTGCAAGAGGAACATTGTGAAAGGAAAGGTGCCTGGGGAGGTTTCGTTTCACTCAGTAAGGGAAGGGAATAAATCAATGTTTAGGGACTCACTCATACTTCTACCTCTAAGGCAGCACAGCATCCTCACCCCGGCAGGGAATTGCTAAGCCCTGACCTTCAGGTGAGACACTGACGGGACAAACACGAGCGACTGGAGCTTATTAAACCACCTCCCAGCACGATCCCCTGAGCAGGATTGACATGAGTCCCTGTGCTGTGCCTTAGCCCTGGTTTTCAGCCCATAAAGTTGGGAACAAGGAGAGCTTTATTTCCCCAAGTTTTTGTTCGCTTCCTCTCCGGACTATTGTGGCCACCCACACGCTCCAACAAATGCGTCACCGCACAAGTGACCAGCCTTTAACTGAAGTGCTGCCAACGCACCACCCATAAAATGAAGCTTTGCAGCTTCATTTTCCATAGGATATGTGATGTTTATTTGGGGGATTAAAAGCTACGTGTATATATCAACATTTCTTGGAATGTGAACTACTCAACTTCTAACATAGGAACTGATTTTGCCCCAACTTCTCTCCTCATCACACTCATAATTTGGTCACCCACTGTTTCAGTCGAAGGTTTCCAAGCTAAGAATCTGCCTTAAGGACTTCAGCCACCTGGAAAAACAAGGAAGCACAGTACCTATGTATAAGTTTTACCTGCATTTAAATGTGGCAGTCTTTCAATGAGCAAGGTGCAAGAATTACTCTGAGCAAAATGCAACCAAATCTGAAGTTCTTTTGTCAAGTATGAGACAACACAAATGGGAATTGTTTCCATATACACAGAAATAATAAAAACTGCATTCTTTGCATCCAGGCCTCTTCTAAATTTTAACTCCCAATTCCCTCTTTCCAGTTAATTTTTCAACAGAGAAATTAAACTGTCAAAAAATGCTTTACATGGATAAGCTCAGGTTGGAAACACGAGAATTAGCTAAAGTATATATGTATGTAAAATATAATGATATTATAATATAATATATTCAATATAAAGTATATATAAAGTACTTTACATAGTATATGGGCACTGCAAATACTTCATCTCTCTCAGCACTCAGGATTGGGCTTGCTGAATCCAACTACACAGCATTTTATATTCTCACTGTTGGATACAGAGATTCAGTAAGAGGAATTGAGCAGGATGATCTTTTCCAGTCAGGCAGCCAGGTTTTCTGTTGGTTTTGTCTTTAAATAACAGAATAAAACTTAAATACTGTCTTGCCAATCTTGGTTGCAACTACTGAGACCAATTTTTTCCCAAGTCAGACCTTAATTCTGGATACCTAATACATGTCTAGATATGTGACACACAGGTAGATAAATGACAGTGTTAATTCATCTCTCTCCTACCAAAAAGGCTGGTTTAAATGCCTTGCTTAGCATTCAGAGCAGTGCCCAGTTCTCCAGGGCTGGATTCAGTCGTTCTGCAGCAACATCTCCATTCAGGTCACGGCCAATCCACATAAAATTTTTGGAAGACATCTCTTTAACAAGCTCGTGTGGTTTGTACAGAAGTCTGCCACTCTAATTATTACCTGCTTAATCTACATGTCTGAATACAACCCTCATCACTGCTTGTCAGCTTTGAGCACAGGTTGGGAATATTCTAAAGCACCCATTTACAAGAGGTTCCTTCCCATTCCACAATCAGATTTTTAAAAGCAATAAATATTCAGGATGGCTCAGAAAATGAAAGAGCAAATTTGAGCAGCAACTAAAAAGTACACCTCAGATGAAAAACCCAGTCCAAAACCACACCACAAAAACTGCCTTGGGAACAAGAGCACCCTAAGAACAACATGTGCTTCCTGCACGAGAGGAAGGATGTACAGACTGGAATAGAACCCAAACTCAGCATCCATTACCCTGCAATCCATAGTTCCTAGATAGACTAAAACTGCTTCAGGGCATGGATTAAGCTCCTATGCTGTTTATCAAAATTATTATATATTAAAAAAATCAAATTAAAAGCAGTATATGCACAGAGGCATCAAGAGAATAAAAATTATTAGTCTTCACAAGCAGGTTTATGAAACATGTTAATGGAATAAAGAGGACAGTTTTCCATCTCCTCTGAAAAAATCTCCCACTTTTGTAGACACAACAACAGAGAAGGATTGATCAGAAAATCCAGATGAAAGCTCTTCAGCTGGACAGGATGACCTGCTGCTCTAAGGAGCCACCAGTGCAGACTATCGATTTTTAACACACCTCCAAGGCAAAGCAGCAAGATTTACCTGGAGAAAAATCCTGTGAGAGTTCACTCATGAGGAATCCTTGGATTAAATAAGCAGAACTCTGCACGAGAGAGACACTGCACAAGACACTCTGCTCAGTGCTTTAAACAAAAGAATTTAAAAACAATTCAAACCAACAAGAAACATAAGAGAGACAGAAGCTGATCAAACAGTATCAGAGTAATAAGGTGCAGATCTAAAACAAAAAAAAAAGGATAACACATTTATTGGAGAAAAAAAATAAGCAGAAAAGCATTTTCTGGATAACCTAAAACCTACTTAATAGCGAGAAAGCAAATCAGATGCTAAAATCAATACAAATCTTATTTTAATAAGGTGCTTAACCAGCAGAAGAGGTGACATTGGTGTTTCTTTAACCAGAGGCTACATTTCTAAACGTGCTGTTAAGGAGAAACAAACACGGGCTCCTTAGATCTGGGATTCAAGGCCAAGAACCTACAACAGCCTCCAGTAGTGCTGACAAAGGGGGACCTCACGCCTCATTAGCAACTTAATCTCACCATAAGGTTCCATTATTTCCAGCACGACCACGACTGCCAAGGATGAAACCTGAAACTTCCCCCGCAATGAAGCATTTCTTGAAACATCACAAATTGCTAGAAATGTAAATACCTGATGTACCAACAATCTGCTTTTTACTCAGAGAAGGAAGCCTGTAAAAGCTGTCAACAGCAGCAGCATGCATGCAAAATAAAAATCCCAGGATATATTAAGTTGTACAACACGGCTTACCTGGGGGGGATAATTGCTTTCTGAAGACCACCTTGAGGACTGATCATTGGGCTTATCCACCAAGATATTCCTAAAAAAAAAAAACCAAGAAGCCAGAATTAATTTAAACAACAGCCACCTATTTTACTTCTCCAGTAAATCTGTTTACATGCAAGGCAGTAACATTCTCATGCAACCACCTAAATCACCAGGTAGAGACTCGGGTTCTCCCCCTCATTGTTAACAATTTTGTACATCACTATTTTACAGGACCCATCAAAATACGCCCCCGAGCCTCGTGGTTGAGAAACGGAGCCCCAAGTTGCGAAACAAAAAAAAAATCCAAATTGTGAAACAAATGTAAAACAGATGAATTACAAGTCTGTAATGAAGTGGAAAAAACGGGCTCATTCACCCCATCGGGGTAAGAACTTCTCAATAAGGTTATAGTGATGAGCAGTGAGAGGGTTACTAAGCCAAAAGCTGTCCTTTACTAGACAGGCAATATTGGAAGGGAGAGAGAGAGAGCTGTTAACCTACTTAAGCTTTCCTGGAGGGTGGAAGATGACCACCTAACTCATGCCAAATTTTAACAAGTATTTCTCATGAGCTACGAGCCCAGAACAACACACAAGAAAGCAGAAGTTCAACCCTTCAACCAAGCAAAACTGAGCTGCCGTTCGGAACAGCGCAGTATTTACAGGATTAGCAAATTCAGGATAGATTTTTTGGCTAAAATTAAACAGATTGATCATGACAGTCACATGACAGGTCTGCCTTCTCTCCTAATAACAGTGCAGTGAAGTTCACCTCCCAGATTAAATAAATAAAAAAAAAATAAAAACCAACCAAAAATCACTAAAATGTATATAATTATTGGCGAGGTGACGATGCACCACCTGCTGGACAGGCCTTATGAACTCCACGACACCCAACTAATGAACTCGTCAGCTCATAAAACTTATGTAAAAAGAGGGAAACTCATCAAAAGGCTTATGCCATCTCCATCTGCTGTGTAGGAGGGAAAGAACAGGAGCATCTGGATTACTACAAAGGGCTGGAGGAAAAAGCACTGCCGTGAAAGCTCCGAAGGGAAGGAGGTTAAGTCAGAGGTTGAGCACTAAGAGACAGAAATCAGCTCGCTCTTTCCACACCGGGCCGACCGAAATCGCTGCTCTAGCAACGGTATCCAAGCAGTCCCTGCTGTGACAAGGGAGACAGCAAAGAGCCAACCAAGGGTGGGTGGCCTCTGAAATCCCAACATTTTCCAGAGCTGGTGAAGTGGTTGTGTCCATCTGCAGGCTCGGATCCTCAGGATTTTCACACAGCATGGGAATAAAACTCAGGTTTCCCCTCTGCCTTCAGCTAATTCCCACCATGGCATATTTATTGACACAGCGATGCCAGCGCTGATCCAGGGCTGCAGGTACTTTATTCACCCATTTCCAATGGGGAAAATGCGATGGAACAGGATACGGACAAGCACTGCCCTCCTGCTCAAACCCCATCAAACAGGGAACATCAAGCCATGGATCTGCATAATTAAACCTCCAGGTAAGTACATCTACTTTGCAGTGCAAACAATCTCTCAACTCCAAGAGAAAACCTAACCCCCATCTTTAATTACAACCAGGACAAAACCAACTAAACCAAAAGGGAGAACTTCTGAGACACAGATTTCTAATAAAAGCTGCCAGTCTCCGAGCTAAGTCCCAATTAGAAACCACAAGACACTTGCCGTCGAGAAGATTCATACCTGCACTCTCCTATAGCACGCCACAGGCAAGACAACATGGTATTTAATAAATTCTTAATGCCTTTTTCTATCTGGGGAGGAAAAAAAAACGCTAAACTTGAAGATATGTATCTTAAATACTTCAGGGATATAAAGGCAGATAAAACTAGATAATGGCCTTTCTCCTTTATGGAACTTTATCCTAGAATGCAAGAAGACAACTTACCCTACAGATTATATTTTATTTATGATGCCATTACATTTGCTTAAATACTGGACATAAACTCTTCATATGTTGAGCAACAATTGCAGGAATTGGCAGTGTTACATGGTCAGATAATTCCCTGCTGGAAAAAGGCATTTTATACCTGGGACAGATCCCAAATATCGTCTTTTTAGAAGGAGATTTGTTTGCTTCTCCAGGTCAAAGATCAATTTGCCACAACCAAAGAGGATCTCAATCAGCACAGCTAGACAAGATAAAAATCCTTCCACAGAGAGAGAGAAAAGAGACAGGCAGTCACACAAAATTAAGGCTAAAAAGAAATGTGAAAGATAAAGATAGCAGTGTCAATGGAGTCAGAAATGTTTAAAAATACGTGGGTTATTAATTTATTAGGATTAAACAAACATTGAAGACAGAAGTCCATATGTACAAAGTCAATTTACCAAAACAATTTAGGAAAATTTATGGGCTTGGAGGAATTCAAGCATTCCAAGAGCCATGAGACAGTAAGAAACAAACAAATTCATATCCTAATGGCAGACTCCTTTTTCCATGTAAAGCCCTTTTTCTGGACATCAAACTCCCACACAATACCCGGGGGCAGGCTTTGCAGATATGACACCTAGATTAAAATCTGAGAAACTTTAGAAGCGAAAATTCCATTAACTCAACGACTTTCCATGTAATTTTCACAAGGCACTAAAATAAAAAAATAAAAAAAAAGGTATTTGTAAGCCCTCGAGCCACACAAGAACAGAAAGGTTTTACACAAGCTTTTCCTGCGAAAAAAGCAACCCATTAAATGTGGTTTGAGATAATTCCTAATCATCAGCTGTGGGTACAGGATCGAGTCTCTCACAAATCTCCAGCAGTGCCAAGAGGGACCATCCCACCCACTCTCTCCACCAGCAGCTATAATAAAGATTTGCATAAATAACTTCTTGAGTCAGATCAGTTCTCCAGTCCAGCTCATCACCGGAGTCAGCACCACCCGGGATGGCAAAGATGAGCAGCTGGATCCGGACGAGGGGTTCCCAAACTCCCAATTCCCCCTCTCCCATTGGAAAAATCAGATGTCGTGATACCTCTCCTACTAAAAGCTAAGGAGAAGGAGCCATTTTCTTTGCTCCACGAGCAGCACCGTGTCCAGAGGTGGCACTGGTGTGCCTTCATTTCCTAACCTGGCTGCCTGCAGGGCTATTAACAGCTCGGCCTTACTGAAAGTGCTCCCAGCCCTAAATAAGTGGATGATTCTGATTTCTCCATGCAAAAAGCCCTTCTGGCAGAGCACAGGGCGAGGTTCTTTTTATTACCCGGGCAGAGACTGCCCTCACAACTGCTGGAAGTAGATAATTTTTCCTTTCACCATCCCAGAAAAACCGTCATATCCGTTGTGCCAACTGCTGGTTGATCTCTGCTGGAACAACAGAGATGACCCCACGTCTGGGGACTTCTCTGCAAAGAGCTCTGCAGGACAACCACAAAGGGAGAGTTTTCCTTTGCTCTGGGGGGGGGAAGGGAGAAATAAGATGACTTTGCAGAACACGCTGCAAATTAGGTTTAAGGCTGCTATAATTTGCATCTAACCTAAATATTTTCATGAAGCTGCTATTAAGAGAAATCCACGACTTTAGGAACGAGTCCCTAAGAACAAACAAATCCCAAACAGTCGCTTTGCTTGGCACTCTCACGTGGCTCCTCGGAGAGCAGCTGTGCAGGAAAGGGCACGCGCGTCGCCAAGAGCACTTGGAACACGGACAGGGCTCCTCTGGAAAACCACAGAGGTACCAGGCCATTACACTGCAAAAAGCATTTGGAGTGCTAGGGAAACACAGACTAACTGAAAATGGGCAAAATACTCGCTCCAGGGTTGGTTTTTTTCAGTTTTTCCTACAACCATCCCAAAAGGGATTAAGGGAGAACACAGCAACTGGATTACACGGACTAGAATTTCCACTAAGGTCACTGTAAGAGGTGGTGGACCAACTATTTCAAGCATGTGGAGCCATCACAGCAGCCAGCACAAGGCATCCATGGAGATACTCCTGCCCAGCCAGGACACTGGAATGTACACACAGTCTTAACCAAGAAAAACGGGGGGAAAAAAAACAACTCGCCACCAAAAAAAAAAAAAAGTCCACGGATCTGGAAAGAACTATGGATTTTTTTCTCCTGCAACTTGCAGAAACTCACTGCAACTACTAATGCTGGTCTCAAACCACCTGACTGGGATGTTTGAAGACCTGTGTGTACCTCTGGCTGTCCCCTAAAGCAGTTCAAAAAAAACTTTTTAGGTTCTCTTACAAAGTTTTTCTCCTTCCTATGGGAAAAGTTCTCTGCTTGAAATGGCAGAAGGATGTAAGGACGTGAAAATGTCTTGGTTGAAACGCAGCAAAACACACACAGTTATTATGCAGATCCATTCAGGAAACAAGTTTTTTGGGGGTTTGGGTGCTGTTCTTTGGGTTTGCTTTTTTAAAACCCGGGATTTCTTAACCCCACAGGAGGACCTCCTGCACAGCAAAACAAAGCCTGAGTTAAACATGTACAAGTGTGCACTTTTAAATATGATACTGTGATGAGATTTGCCAAGTGACTGCTCAAACTTGCTTCATCTCCTCAGCAGTCTCACACAAACATCCAGCATATTGTAAATTCACTTCTCTGAAAAGTAAAATAGCTTAGCAAGTACGGCATAACAAAAATAAACTGAAGGATTTAGAAATCACCTTACAGAGGTATCCTTATCAGATCACAGCTGACTACACTGGACAACAAACTTGGTATTACTTAGCTCTGGCTAAGATATAGCTCAATTAAAAACAGGTTTTCAATTATTTCTTTCAATTAACATTTTACTTTTTGGTTTTTAAGCAGCCTCTCATCACCGCCAGACCAACCAAACTGCTTCTTAAATGCAAAATGACACTGCTGAAGGCACTTCCAGTAAGACAAATTACGAAGTACTTGTTTTTCACTCCCCCCACCTACTTAAGACTTCTTTAAACAAGATCTCTTTGATTCATCAGCACTTCCTCCTGACATGCCAAGAATTAAATGTTTACCAATAGTGACTAAAATTGCAGCAGTGAATTCCCAGGAAGTCATAGAACTGTTTGGGGTTGGAAAA